CAATGCGGTATCTTAATGGAAAATTCAGCATTATTACTGTCGTTAGCAGGCATTTTCAAAGTCGCAATGGGAGGTAAATATTTTCCATTAAAAGATTATTTCAATCTGAGATGTCTGAACCATTATTGCCTGTGAGCCTCAATAACACAAATGTCATACAAAAAATGAGAAAAATGTGTAATTCTCATAGCTATTACTTTAGTGAATATGAACAAAACAAAATCACTGTGTTGCTGGTATGTTCAGCACACGAATGAAAACACTTTAAATTTATTTGGATGATACCTTTCAAATGCTTTAAAAATAGTTGATACTTTCATTATGAAGTTTTTTGTATGTCAGAGCAAAATCAGAACTCAGCGAAAAGCATTCTTACCTAACTCATATTAATTTAGTTGGAGTCTTCAACAAAATAATAATAAAGACTTTATCTTCTTACCAGCATTTAATACAATTTCGAATCAAAATATTTAGTTCATGGAGAAAGTTTTTCTTCCTATGAGAGAAAAAAAAAGCTGGAGACAACGTAGTTGTAAAAACTGGTTTATTTTTTTAAAAATAAATACAAAAATATAAATATAAAACATTAGCGGATAGAATTTGATGAAATGAAATTGCACAAACGTTTGTATACCAGATTGCATATCACACCTACTAACACCACATGTACATACTTGTAAAATTTAATGTACAGAACAGGATATACCTTAATATTTTTTTTTTCTTCATCTTTTTTAAAAGCTTCATTTGCAAGGGCAGGGCATGTATCTAAAAGAAGCGGTTTGTTTGTGAGGTTGCTTAAGGGATAACTATCCTGTTCATGTTTCTGAAATTTTCTTTTATTTGCTAAGATGGACAACACTGAATTTCCATAGCTTTGGCTCTTGGAAGTGATTAAATAAAATGTCGTTTATATTCCATGAGACAGCCTACGGAAAAGAATTAATTTAATTAATCAACAAATTAAGAAGCAAATGGGGAACAAATATTGTGCTGAGTGGCAGGAAATTTCTTCTGAATATCAAATGCAGTGGAGGGGAGACAGTGCGCAGCCAGTCCGTCCCGCCGTGCGGAGCGCGCGCCGGGTTAGGAGTCTTTGTCGCTGTCCCCGCCGCCGTACATCTCCGCCAGCTTGTTGAACCGCGGGCCCCACTCCCGGAGGTAATCGTAGTTCTGGTCTCCTTCGGTGGTGCCCGACTCCAAGGAGCTCAGGGACTCGGCGACCGAGTCATTGCCCTCGTAGGCGTAGGTGGCCAGCGAGTCGTAGGGCGGCGCCGTGGGGTCCAGGTCGTGCTCGCGGAGCCGCTCGCTGATGAAGTCGCGCACGTCCGTGGTGTCGGGCGCCGTGGGAGTCCTGCGCGGCACGAACAGCGCCTCGGGCGCGATGTCGCGGCGCGGCTGCTTCTCCTCCATCGCCGCCGGGTTCCGCAGGGTGCCGATATCAAAGGCCTGGGTGTCCTCCTCGCCGCCGCCTTCGTCGTTGTAGCTCACGATGTTGTCTCTGATGTCTTCTTTGGATAAGATCAGAGGCTCTTTCTTCCTCTGCCTCTTTAGAGCTGCAAACAGGACTACTATCACTTGGAAGAAAAAAAGACAAGAGCATGCATTAGCAATCTGCGCAGACCCAAACGCCACAAAGCATTCACGTGAAAGGAGTGTAAGTTACTGAAAGTTTTCATGGCATTAAAATTTAAAATGAGGGGCTGGTGAGATGGCTCAGTGGTCTAAAGCACCTACTTAGAACAAGCTTGGCAAAGCACGGGGACCGCGGTTCAAATCCCCCAGCACCACATGCCAGCCAGCCCCGCCCCCTGGTGGGCTGAGCTGGCCACACACACACACACACACACACACACACACACACACATAAATAAATAAAATTTAAAAAATAAAATAAAATAACATTTAAAATGACTTGGGCAATTTCAAAATTTAGGAGTAGTGTGCGGGAGAAGGTTTTAGCCAGGCTAGGGGTCCACGAGAGCAAAGCTGCTGGTTCATTTTTAAAGTTATATGAAACAGTCTTCAAATACAGCGACATGATTTATCTATTTTTAAAAGAGCTCTTTAGTTTCTGATTGTAAAGAAAATATTGATCTTTTGAAATACTGGCCTAAAATGTTATGTAAGGATAAACTGAACTCAGTTTCAAATGGGACAAGTAGAGATGAAATATGCCCACATTTTTACATCCTTAAAAAAGATTAGAAATCAATATTTTTCAAGATGTGGAGGAAAAGTAGTAACTTTGTGATGGATTCAAATAGTTTTACTCTATTAAAGAAGGCTTTTATTAGTGGAAAATAAGCAAGTTATTCACACATTAGGTAGGTTTTTAGATTTATAATGTTTTCCTTGAAAATATATATTTTGTAACAGAATTTCCCCTAAACCGTTAGCCCATATAACAACAAGGACCACATTTGGCTGAATACGTTGAATTCACTCTAAAGTCCTTATGCAATGGGCCCGGATGCCTCCTAAGCAAATATAGATGCACATGTTGAAACCATTTTCCTCAGAAGAGACAGTTCTACATTTCCATGAAAAAGTAGTAAGAATAAAAACAATAATGATAATTCTCATAATAGTAGGAGTACGTAAACGATAGCAAAAAGTTAATATTTAATTCACCTGATGGCTTTAGAATTGCACGTACCTATTTACTAATATCCAAACATTTTGGTTGTAATAGTTTAAAATGATTTGTAGAAACACATAAATTCTATTAGATGGAAAAAGAAAGAAAAAGTCAGTTTTCCTATCTGAAATATCTATATTTGACCTCTTTTAGGAAAATTATTGAATGGATAGAGGAATTGTGGAGGACCACCTGAGCAACTCTCCTTGAAAGAAGAGCTGTAGTCTCCATTTTGGCTGTACTTGGCTGTATCTCCTTGTATTGATAGGTACAGAGCTGGCCAGGACTCTTCCTTATCCCTTCAACTGGCCTTAAGCAGTGCATATTGGTCTAACTGAGGTGCTGGTGGTGGTCTCTGAAAACAGCACACATGTTTCCTCCATAACCCCCACCAGTTGCTCTTAAAATTAATTGGACCGAGACAGGATGAAGAGCCAGTGCTCCACACTGTTGGCTAGGATTGAGCCTCAAGATAGAGGCTATGACTTCCGCAGGCTTGAGAGATTATGTACCAGAGCTGAAGCACTGGACCGCAAAACATTAGATACTACCTCAGTCGGGTAATGGAGATCACTCTCTGCATATCCTGCTCTGCACATTGCACAGGTAAATCCAGGCCTCCTACCCAGCCCAGCTCACAGGCTCACCTACCTCCTGCCATTCTCTGTCAATCAACCTCAAGCCTCTCCTTCTTCATGACTGAATAAAACCTAGACTTGGCCACGGATCAAGGCCTTTGTTCCCGATAGTCACCACTATGGCTGGGCTGAGGACCCTTTCACTTCTCATAATGACAAACACGCATTCCTGTCTTTATTATCACCATGGTTTGCACTGGAACTGGTCGATTGGAATTGACTTGGAGGATTCAATGACTTATGAATGGAATTACAAATATAAACTTCCCAGATTGAGACTAGGACCAGAAAGGGCTCCTTCTAGAAATCATAATTCCAAGACTTACTGAGCCTTTTAAAAATATATACGAAATACTCAGACTATGTTCAATTTTATGTGCCAGAAAATACCAAGGATGTTTCTATTGTGACAAAAGTGAAAGTCAAGTGCACTGCAAGTGCTCTTTCACTTAGAGTGATTAAAAAGAAAAAAAAAAAACAAAACAAGCTATGATGAAGGCAGAAAAGTCCAGACACCGTTTACATTTTTGAGTAAATATCATTAAGTATTGTATAAATTCATGTGTTCACCTACAACCAAAGATGTTTGATATAAAGATATCAAAACTAGTTTTGATTTATTATCAATCTAAGAATCCTAAGGGAAAAGAACTTCTATAACTGTAAAATGCAAAACTTACTAAGATCAACTTCAAGTCCAATATCATTGCCCTGCTTCTGGGAATGCCTGCATATCTTTGCTTAGGGTCACATGGATACCACCAACTATAGTTTTAAGCTAATGTAAGCAGAAAGTAAATTTAATCTGATTTTTAATTCAAAAGCAGTTAAAAAGCAATTTACTCTAGGTTATCGAATCAAGTGTAATTATGTGGAGTACAAGCAATCAGGTAAAGAGCTATTTTAATATTATTTCAGCAAAGAAACAAGATAGTAAGACCTCCATCCGGGCCTAATAAAGAAAATAAATGGACATGAACTTAAGGGATCACTGGAAACTTGTGAATACAAGGACTCACATAAAAGTGCTTTGATTCAAATACTCAGAGGGTAGCCTTGGAAGTGTTTTAAATATTTTTAACTTCCAGTTTCATTATGTATAAAGTGAGGTTGATAACCTTACATACTGCATACATATTTTGTCAAATAAAGAAATTAGTTAAGTGATAATTATAGTGCTTGACATACAATAAACATTTAAGGAAGTCTGCAACCATTAATGTAATCTTAGTAGGAATTTTAATTTTTAATATATATTTCAAATAATGACTTTGTCTATTTGACTTAAGACATGTTAGATAAAAATATATTTTACACAAATTAAACTTTAATTTTTATTAACATTAAAATATGCATATCTAAAATACATTATTCATATTTGTGTACATTGATTAAATTACTGTAAGGCAGGTTTATGAACGTCCTTTAATTTTATTATGGGAAAATCAGCTAATAAAAATAAATTTTTATACATTTTACATATCCTATTAAATGTAATGATTTTTTTATTCTTTGCTACACATGGAAAAGGCTTATTATGCTTCATTTTGCAAACAATAAAATATAAAATGCACATTTTTAAATGTGCATTTCCACTTCTTGAGCTACATAAAAATCTAAAGCATCCAGGATTCATAGTGGTTGCCTATATTCCCAGCTACGTGGGAAGGTGGAAGACTGAAGGAGTGGATCACAAGTTAAAGGTCAACCTTGGAGACTTAGAAAAAACATGTGTGTGTGTGTGTGTGTGTGTGTGTGTGTGTGTGTGTGTGTCTGTCTGTCTGTCTGTCTGTCTGTCTTTGGGATATATATATATATATATATATATATATATGGTTGTACTTCAGAGGTACAGCATCCACACTACTGCAAAAATACCAGCAACATATAAAATAGTGTTGTCTATTTTATCCTAATCTTTTGTGACTATTCCACTTTTTTATTTCAACACAATACTAGAGTGTGACTATGATGTGATAAATGTAGCAAAATTGAATTGCTTATTTAGTAGCTTAAACCAAATTAAATATACAATGATAAAGTATTTTTATTTCATTTTTATTACTGCAGGTCCCAACTTCATATTGTAATTTGCTGTTTATAAAACCATAATATTTTGCTAAAATTTATTTTAAGCATAATTTTAAAGTTTGATAGTTACTTTCTTTAATTTATAGCTACTTTCCTCTTAGTTCAATGAGAAGAAAGATTTGTACTAATAATGTTTAGACAAGATATCATATCTGTGTCTTGTACTCTGAATAACTACTACAAAGACACAATATGCAATGTATTAATTGTTGTAACTGTCCTACTAACCTGTTTTGAAACTGTCTCATTGCTATTTGTTTTGCATTAAAATTAAAAAAATAAAGTTAGAAATACAGGCTAAATAATTTAATTTAACTTCAGTTTTTAAGCATGAGCATTTGACAATGTATGGGATGCTAGTAGGAAACCCTTTGAATTCTGCCAATTTTATGAGCTGTGTTTCTCACAATAACTGTCGATTTAAAACATATTGTTTAATCTTACTGAGGTCTGCTATTATTTGAGTTTCAGAGTTGGAGTTGAAACCTTATTACATTCTTGCAACTCATCAAACCCCTACTATACTCTTCCATGAGTATACTTGCTCATCATCCAGAAAGAAACAATGGCATACCGATTGCTTTTCTACCCTCAGGAGAACAATAATTGACCAAGTACAAAATGATTGGTAACTTGCTACTGGTGTCTTCCTTCACTGTTTCACTGGGCAAAGGCTTCAGAGAATGCTAAATCCATGAAAATATTCATCAAAAGTTGCAGGAATTCCAACTGCATACCTCTCATCTTTCTAAAAACTATTTTGTGCTCACTCTTTTTGATTTTCCTTTATTTTAGTAAAAGATATATTTATGTATATAAATACATATATGTATAATTTAATTCACATCTAAGTTCTGAATTCACATCCAATAAACAAAGTCTCATGATTACTATCACACAACATCACTTTACATATCTTTACACATATTTTTGATTTGTATTTTTTTTTTTTTTTTTTTTTGAGGAAGGGTTTCACTATGGAGTTCGGGTGAACATTGAATGCACTATGTAGACCAGGTTGGCCTGGAACTCTCAGCAATCCTCCTGCCTTAACATCATATTTTATACATTCTGATCAAGTATAAATTATCTTAATAAAAACAATGATCCACATTTAATTCACATATCCCAGTTTGGGTGTTGGTTTGGGGGAGGTATTTAATAGCATTCTTCCCTACTTAACAGCATACTACAGTAGGCATACTAAGAGATGCTGGCACGTCTTTCAGAGTCCTTACCCAGCAGAATAATGATGCAGAGGAGAATGGCAATGAGTGCCCCCGTGCTGAGGCCGGCAGGGAGGAGCAGGGCCTCAGCACTGCAGGACTGCATGTTGCCCTGGCTGTCGCAGGCACACACTCTGATGGTCAAGGTGCCTGTGCTGCTCTGGATTGGGTAGTCATTGTCTGAGATCACCACTGGCAGGAGATATGTACTTATTTCATGTCGGTTGAAGCCATTCTTTCTAGTCAAAATCCTCGCCGTGTTGTCTAAAAAATGTTTGAAATACACAATTGATAACAGTAAATTTATCTCATGCTTATAACACTGGTTTGTCATAAAAATGAAATTTCTTTTAAAAACATAAAATTCTTGTAAGCATTACTACTCAATATGTGCTACAGAATTATATTAAATATTTCATCAGACCTTAGTTGTATTCTGTGTAGTAATATATCATTTATATTCACATGGGTTTTTTTCGGACACTCAGTAACTTATATAGAATCAAGAACTTTTTCTAGTGTAATGAAATGATAATATTTGTCAAAAATTAAGGTTAATCTTCAGTGGTCACTCCAGTAACTCTGAAAAGCTGTGTTAAGACAATACTGTTTCAAGTCTGTATTAACTTTTAACATACACTGCTCAATTTTGCATGAACAGAAAGCAAATTTAAAAAGAACAAGATACAGGTCCGGTATTGTCAATACAGTACAGTCATTGCGATGTAAATTCAGCACGAAGGACAGCGACAGTCTACATTATGAAGTTTGTTTGCCAAGCACAGCAAATTAAAATGTAGGATATTGTTTACCTTAAATTCAGATTCAACTGCATATTTTATAATTTGCACTTCACATTTTTCCCGTTCTATTAATCTTAGGTTTATAGAGTGACGAGACACATGGATCTTCCAGATATTTGGAATTAGTGCAAACAGATTTAAGTGGATGCTATATCTTAAACTGATTTGTACAAAGACTATGACACATATCTCAAATGCTTGCAACACTGTGAAATGATTTACTATCTCAAACTCTTTTCCAAGGCTTATACAACTACGAAGTACTTACTTAGAGAGTGGCTTTGGAAACTTGTATCACAGATTGTGAAGAAATTATTGTAGCTATGACAATGTAGTTATTAGGTCTGCTTTAAAATATGCAATCTGCTGGCATTCTAATGCAAACGTTCCTTTTCACAAACATTCTGAGGCAGTACATTTAACATAAAACACTACTAAGTGGAGAAGAAACTAATCATGCACTTTTGTTTAAACTAACATAATTCTAATTACATGCATTTATCAAGGAAAATACTGTTAAAATTGTAAAAGTCATGACTATTTTCATACCTTTCATTTTAAAATGTATTTCTAACTTCTAGAGCAAAGTAGAATTATAATTTTAGCCATAAAATGTGCATATTACAGAGAACAGCAGCAAAACCTGTCATTGCCTTTGCCCTCAATGACCCCACAGGCTGCTGTGGCTCTTTTCCATGTTTCTCACCTGTATTTTTATTCCTACCTGGTTCAAATGAATCTGCTGTTGTTAAATATCATCTAAGTTTGCACAGCCGTCTAAGCCTTTTATTTTTCTATTCCTACATTTGACCATTTTTGTTGTAGAAGCTGTTACACTAATAATTTCAATCTTTACAATACTCTGTAACTTACTGAATTTTGAATTCAAGATAGTACACACAAACAAGACATCGTTGTGATATATCATTGTTTCTGAAGTATACAACATTTTGTAAATTAAATCAATAAATTTATGTTATATATATTTTAATGCTTAACAAAGGGGAAAATTTCCATGAATATCATTTTAAATAATAAAGCAAAAGTTGTACAGTTTACCTTCATTATCTTGTACTGTGAAGTTTGGATTCACAGCAGCTAAACTGAAGAAAAATTTTTGTCCACCTAGAGGGTCATCTTTGTCTACTGCACTTATCGTCTGTATTAGCTGCAGAAAAGAGAAGGTTATGTAGTGAAGAAACTTTCACAAGCAAATCAGGTTTGTAATATGCATTTTTGATGTTTTAATCTTATATAACTTTTCAGATAAAATCAATTTTATTCCTTGTGCTTGAATCTTTGAGTTAATTCATCTTTATGAATGTTTTATTTTAATGATCTCCTTCTGTTTCCATTTATCTCATCTCTACATCTCTCCTGTCCTTCTTCCTAATATGATAAATGGTAATGCACACTATTCCTTGAATTTTTATAAATTTAGATATATCATACGATGTGAGTAGGTTATTTCATATAAATTTGAATGCTGACCTGGAAGAATACATTTAATATTGGAAAATTAAGGAAATTATTTTGACTTTGTCTTTGTTCCTTTCCCAGAATAAGGGGAAAAATCTTAATAGAAGAAGGTCAGCGATGTGTAATACTTTATGTTGCTTTTCAGAACAAGTCTTGAACATTATTGCAACAGTAATTTCTTCACTCAATAGCACTTTTACTAAAATTGTAGCTTTAGATTAGTTCTCCATACATTATATGGAGAACTGTATAAAGTTTTAATTTTTATTTATTTATTTATTTATTTATTTATTTATTTTATTTTGTGTGTGTGTGTGTGGCCAGCTCAGCCCACCAGGGGGCGGGGCTGGCTGGCATGTGGTGCTGGGGGATTGAACCGCGGTCCCTGTGCTTTGCTAAGCTTAGCTTGTTCTAAGTAGGTGCTTTAGACCACTGAGCCATCTCACCAACCCTGGAGAACTGTATATAAGGACAAACAAACTGATAGATTTGTGAGGTACTAGATGATAAAAGGAAGCTGTCCAGGAGCCAAGTAGACAATTTAGTATGAAATATCATCAGAAAGTAGTTTGGAAATACTATATTATTAGTATTACACAAAGTCATATGAAATATGTAATAATATGTCAAACAAGTATGTTTTTTATATTCTCTGTTAAGTTACATGTAATCTAGCTTTTATTTTTGTAAGAATAAGCTTTAAAAGACTTTACGTATCTGCATATCTATATATAACTTTATAAATGGTCAAAAGTATACTTGACTAAGAAAACTGCATTAACTAAATTCAATAATTTGTTAGTATTGGGTGAAAATATCACTGAAGTTTTACAGATTTAAAATGCTAAGGAATTCATCTTAAAAATGTAGATAAAATAATTAGAAAAATTAAAAAATACCATTATCATTCTGTATTAAATTACTTTTTCAAAAATATGTTATGACATAAAATATGATAAATATGAAATATTACTCTTTTTAATTCAAATTCTAATCATTTCTTGTTTAATCGTTTATTTCAACGTGATACAAGAAATAAAATTATGCCAAAAATTTAAAAAAATTTGTTTAAAGATTTGAATTATTTTCAAACAATTTAAACAATTCTCTCTTTTTTTTTTTTGCTTTTAATAAATTTTAACTCTAATAAGAATAAATGAACTTTTGTGGGCTGTATCTAGAGTGTGTGATTAATTGATGATCCCATGCTGGGATGATGGGTGAGAGTCCTGCTGGGATGATGGGGGAGAGAGCACCCTGGCGTACACAGCCTGAATGCAATACACGGAAGGGAGAGAGGCTTACTCTGGCCCTGCTCCTCCACTCTTTGCTCTTTCTCTTTGCTGCTTTCCACCATCATGGATTGTTGCCCTCTGTCATGGGCCACTCTGACTTGGAGCCAGCTGAGTATGGACTGAAACCTCCACAAACTCCGAACTACAAACTACATACACTTTTTCTTCCTTAATTTAGGGTGCCGGGTATTTTGCCCCAGGAATGAGAGAAAAGTAACCAACAAGTGGACCTATAATCATAAAACTATAATATAGGTAAATAAATTAAATAGAAAATGTCAAATTAATGCTAATCAATACTATTTAAGATTTATTAATTTCAAAATGTTTCTTGTCTGACTCATGTTTATTAGATATAACAGGCCTTTCTTTAACAAATTTTAATTTATGAGCGTCATGTGAACAGAGAAAATGGCATATGTAAAATAACAGCAAAAATGCTAGATTAGCCAAAATAGTCGTTTAGATTATTATGTTAATATGTAAATGGACACAAAATTGACAAAAGCTTAAAAATAGAATTAAAAGCCTTTTAAAATAAAATTGTCCTGTGCCTGCTAAATAGCTCTGTGGGTTAAAGAGCCTGCAAGCAGGCCCAGAGGCTTGGGGCTTGATCCCCAGGCCTGCCATGCTGGCCCTGCCTCCAGGGCGCTGAGACTGGGTGTGGTGGCACACGCCTGTAATTCCAGCACTTGGGAGGCTGAGTCCAATCTAATAGTGAGACCCTGAACACCCTGTAGACCCTTCCCTAAAATAAAAAAATAATTGATTAATTGATTAAATAAAATTATCCAATATCTCAAAATAAACTTTTGTGACAATGGTAACACATTAAAATACCAGTTCATCATAGGTCATAGTAAAATACTTCTGGGGACAATTTTTTTTTTTTTTTTTCCTGAGGATAAGAACAGAATATTTATTGGGGGAAAAAGAAAACTTCTGTCTGAGAGGGACAGAAAAGGGGCCTGAGTGGGTTGTCCCCGGGAAGTTGGTTCTTCGAGGCACTTTTATAGAACAAAATCATGCAATGAGGCAGGTCTAAGGTGGTAGAGAACAAGGGAACTCATGTAGGTAGGCATGAGGTGGGAGAAAGCTCTGGTCAACCAAGGAGATTACAAGCACAATTGCTCAGGGAAAATTGATTAAATCTAGGACCAAATGAGGAAGCCAGTCACAGGTCAGTGTCTTTTCCTGTTGGGATTGGGCTGGGGGCTCACTCGGGTTTGTTCAAGGTGACTGATACCTATTTAGAATATCAATCCCTGATGCCCATCCCTAGGGAAGTATGTAGCTGTATTTGTTTTTTCTTTTGTCTTGAAGTCTGGCCCAAACTGGGAGTGTCTGTCTCTTCCAAGTTGCAAAGTCACTTTGTCTTCCAAATTGTCTCCTTGAGGGCCTGACCCTGTCTGATTGCCTATAATATTTCTATCTAATTTAGCTGACTACAACATTAGGAGACAAATTTTTATATGTTTACCTAAATGTATAAGACATTGCAAATATGTACTTATAATTCTTAGTAAATGTATTTTAATCAAAGAATGCTGCATCACTGCTGTTCAATCAGTGGTTAATTGATTCACTTTCATTAAATATAAAAGGAGTAAGTCAAACATGTTAATATTACAAAGAATATAGAATCACATTTTGAATAAACTCAAATGTATGAGGTCATAGTTATGGATATAGGACTTCTCTAATGCAAATGGAAATGCTCCCTTTACAAGATGTGAAGGATTTTTCTTTGATACATAACTTGGCCTCTAGTGGCTATCTTCTTTATATTCTAAATCTATCTCTCAATCTCATATTCATATTTTCAACATTCATTCTGTATCCCAATACTCTGATTTTGATAAATGTGCCATGAAGATTTGCAGTAGAAGTCAGATGGAGAGAGAGAGAGAGAGAGAGAGAGAGAGAGAGAGAGAGAGAGAGAGAGAGAGCACCATGTCCCTAGGCTCTCTCCCGGTTCTCAGTATGTTATTTCCATTGAGAGCCAAATTCATTTCAATCCTATTCCAGTGAAATATTTTCCATCATTTTGGAAACAAAGATAACTTGGTGATATCTTGTGTTCTTTCTTAGCCTATGAAGAAGAGATACAGGTTAAGTCTTTATTTGCCTAGCAATGAAATATTTAGTTTATAGTTTTACATATTATGGACTGTTTCAGTGATTGCCATATCACTGTATATGAAGTGATAAATGGATTTAAGATATATAACACTAGTAACCTTGTCATTAAATATTAACTTTTTCTGGAGTGTGACTGGGAGTTTTATTGATGAAAATACTTCTTTGTTCTAATCATGTGCACAAATTTTAGTTGTAAAGGATGTAATTAAATGTTGTTGTGTGGAAATATATATGGGGTGTTTTTGCCTGGAGAAAGCCTCCATTGCTATTTGTTTGAATGTATGCTACCAATTGATAGTTGGTAACTTTCTAAGATACTATTGAAGAACAAATATAACAGCATTTTTCCTGATGCAACTTTTGGTCATAGATTAAAGTGTGATTTTCTTCCTCTAGACCCATTTTTCCGAGATAGAAATTTGTGGGATTCAGTAACTGTGCTTTTGCTAAGAGAGGAACATTAATATTAAATTAGTTGCAAGCTACATCCTTACTAAGGGGAAAGTCATCTATACTTGCACAAAAACAGAACAAGCAAACAAAAAAACACAAGGCAAAGGAATGGAAAGGAGGAGGAAATGGCCATTAGTTTGCTTTCTGTCTTAATTTGTCCATACACTAAATGAGTGGCAACATTCCCTATGCTACAGTCTAAGGGCTGCTTAGAGAACGCTTTACTTGCATGAGTATCAGGTGGACTGGGATATGCTATAAATAAACTATACTCACAAGTCCTAACATGTTCCTGCTCCCATAGGAAGATAAGAGACCAAGCTGAGAAGTGAATTCCACAAAAGATGCAGTGAAGACGTTTGTTAAATTATGTAAATAACCTAGAATTCTGTCTGTTAATATATAACAGTTTTAATTGAAGAAAGTCATGCTTTAGGCAATAAGACCAAATCGATAATAGTTCTTTTAAAAATAATTGGTATAGGAGACCACGCACTTGCAATGTGTAAGATAAGAATTATTTACCATGTCCTACCTATCAAGCTGGCAAATGTAGCTGAACCATCTTTTTAAAAAGCCTTTCATTTAAATGTTTACTTCAGTATGCCAACAATTTTTTAAGTGTCAAGCAGGTGTGAAGTCATTATTAAGTGGACCATAGTTAGCAACAGAAAATACATGCGTAATAAACAGAGCTCTTCATTTTGTATATTTTGAACACACTTGTAAATTTGTACACACAGTGATGCAAATTCTGTGAAAAGATATCCCTTGAAAATGAAGCAGAGTAGTGATAGGGGTCGTACATGTTGTAGTAACAATGTGGGTAATTTGCATCTTGGTAAAAAGATTTTAACTTATATCACGCTGAGTGTTCCACGTGGAAGACTATTCAGCATGGTATTTTTAGGGTAGACATGTTTTCATTAAGGAAGTTGGATGCAGCTAAGCCATTCAAGTATTCCAAATTAAACATTACCATAACATTTTTAAATAAGAAAAAAATAAATGAATCCAATTGCAGCAATTTGACCACCTCAAACAATAGACAGGCTATTGAATTTCTGTTTGAGTCTTTAAAAGAAAGAATTTGAATTATGGCATAATATAATTTGCATAAGAAAGTAGCGATGACATTGAAGTTTATAAAAGCATTGAGTGATGTCAAAACACAATACAATTTCGCAATGGCTTCTTTTTCTTTAATCAAACCTATTTGATTTCCAATTATCATTTATAACATGCAGCCTCCCTCTGTGAAGATAGCCCTCAAGCCAATTAAAAACATTTCTTTTAGCCATATATACTGGAGCTTTTCAAACAGCAAAATGCATCTATTGAGGAAAAATTATAAATAATTATAAACAAGGGTGATGCAGGAAACTTGCTTTCAAGGATGAAAACCGAGTCATCAAGCACTTCCTTTATTGATTTATTTGTCAAAAGCAGTATGTAAATCTAAAGATCAAATTTGACTTCCCCCCTTCAAAATATATTTCCATACTTATGAATACCGAATGTTTTCGTGACCCGACACAATTCTAAGTTCCAGAACCTTCGTCTCCATTGTCCCAGACGTCATCAGTATGTATCTAATGGCAGGAAAATCGAGGTCCTTGTTTGTTCTTATGATTGCAAGTTTTGAAAGTTAATGTTATTTCTTTTTTATGCTCCTTCACAGTTAACAAAATATTTTGATTATTATTTTAGTACATATCTGTTATACAAACAGTGGGTTTGATTTTGTTATATACCAATAAATATGTGACACACTTTGATTGTTTACATTTTCTATTATTTTCCTTTCTATCTTGGGTTAATTTTATTTTTCATATCTCAAATTTTGTGACAGCCCTCATTTCTGTTTTATACTTTACATGAAACTATGACACTGGTACACTGTTATTTAAAATAATTTTAACCTCAAATATATTGGTCATTTTGTAAAGACACTATTTTCTCCATCTCCTCCTCTTCCTCCTCCTCCTCC